TCAGGGAGTTGAAAGTTGAGATGTGACAGGTCGACAAGGACACTGTGTATGAGTGTTGCATGATAGTGAGAGAACGAGTGTTGCCCAGGAGTGTCGCCCAGATATGAAGTTCTGAGAGGTCACAGAGCACAAAGTGTGTGACTGTCGCGTGGGATTACTCTGAATGTATCCCGGGATTGCCGTTCCAGACAGCCAGATAGCCCGGCGTGTATACCTGTTGTGTGCGATTTTTCCAAATGTAGCCTGGGAATGGCGTTCTGGGAGGTCTCGGAGCACGAAGTGTGTGACTCTTGCATCCTGTTATTCCGAATGTGGCCTGGGAATGGGGTTCTGGGATGCCAAAGAGCTCGAAATGTGTGACTGTTGCATCCCGTTAATCAGAATGTGGCCCGGGAATGGAGTTCTGGGGTGTCAAGTACGAAGAATTGTATGACTGTTGCGTCCGGCTATTCCGAATGTGGCCCGGGAATGGCGTTCTGGGAGGTCAAGGAGCACCAAGTGTGTGACTGTTGCATCCGGTTATTCAGAATGTGGCCTGGGAATGGGGTTCTGAGAGGTCGACGAGCACGAAGTGTGTGACTGTTGGTGAAAAACGAGCCCGGCACAGGCCCGGCCGGCAACTCCCAACGCCTGCCCGGACCCCCCTGTGGAGTGATCTGTGAGCTCTTTTGAGTCAACTAGAAACCTATCAGTTTTCGCTGTTAGGTAACAAATAGTGCAAACATAGCCTGGGGACTATTTTTTGAATGTTTGTTGGCCTCTTTGGGGCATGTTTGGGTGTATAAAAAAATTATCCCGGCAAAGCAACCTAACAGCGATGTGTAGAAGCATATATGGAAGCATTCCCCTTAAGATTCAAATGAGAATCCAGTTGTAGAGTTCTGCTGTTCTCGCAGTCGCAGTCGCATTCGCGATGACAGTCGCAGTGGCAGCGGCAGTCGCAGTCACAGCCTCAGCCTGCCTCAGTATCAGCCTGCCTCAGCCTCAGCCTCAGCCTGCCTCAGCCTCAGCCTCAGCCTGCTTCAGCATCAGCCTCAGTCTGCCTTCAGCCTCAGCCTCTGTGCCTCAACCTGCCTCAGCATCAGCCTGCATCCGCCTCAGCCTCAGCCTCAGCCTCAGCCTGCCTCAGCATCAGCCTGCCTCAGCGTCTGCCTCAGCCTGCCTCAGCCTCAGTCTGCCTTCAGCCTCAGCCTCAGCCTCAGCCTGCCTCAGCATCAGCCTGCCTCAGCCTCAGCCTCAGCCTCAGCCTGCCTCAGCCTCAGCCTGCCTCAGCGTCTGCCTCAGCCTGCCTTCAGCCTCGGCCTCAGCCTCAGCCTGCCTCAGCCTCATCAGCCTCAGCCTGCCTGCCTCAGCCTCAGCCTCAGCATCAGCATCACCATTCTCAGCCTCTGCATCAGCATCGAAATGCGGCCCGGGAATGGAGTTCTGGGAAATCGAAGAGCACGAAGTGGCCTACAGTTGGCTCCGGGCATTCAAAATGTGGCCCAGGAATGGAGTTCTGGGCACTCGAAGAGCACGAAGTGGCCTACAGTTGGCTCCGGGCATTCAAAATGTGGCCCGGGAATGGAGTTCTGGGAAATCGAAGAGCACGAAGTGGCCTACAGTTGGCTCCAGGCATCAAAATGTGGCCCGGGAATGGAGTTCTGGGAACTCGAAGAGGCCTAAGTTTTGGTTCGGGAATGGAGTTCTGGGCGAAGAGCACGAAGTGTGTGACTGTTGCATCCGGTTATTCAGAATGTGGCCTGGGAATGGGGTTCTGAGAGGTCGACGAGCACGAAGTGTGTGACTGTTGGTGAAAAACGAGCCCGGCACAGGCCCGGCCGGCAACTCCCAACGCCTGCCCGGACCCCCCTTGGAGTGATCTGTGAGCTCTTTTGAGTCAACTAGAAACCTATCAGTCTTCGCTGTTAGGTAATTATCCCGGCAAAGCAACCTAACAGCGATGTGTAGGAGCATATCTGGAAGCATTCCCCTTAAGATTCAATGAGAATCCAGTTGTAGAATTCTGCTGTTCTCGCAGTCGTAGTCGCATTCGCGATGACAGTCGCAGTGGCAACGGCAGTCACAGACACAGCCTCAGCCTCAGCCTGCCTCAGCCTCAGCCTCAGCCTGCCTCAGCCTCAGCCTGCCTCAGCCTCAGCCTCAGCCTGCTTCAGCCTCAGCCTCAGTCTGCCTCGGCCTCAGCCTCAGACTGCCTCAGCCTCCTCATCGGCCTCGGCCTCAGCCTCAGCCTGCCTGCCTCAGCCTCAGCCTCAGCCTGCCTCAGCATTCAAAATGTGGCCTGGAATGCATTCTGGGAACTGAAGAACACGAAGTGGCCTACAGTTGGCTCCGGGCATTCCCCTGGAATGGAGTTCTGGGAACTCGAAGACCACGAAGTGGCCTACAGTTGGCTCCGGGCATCCAAAATCTGGCCCGGGAATGGAGTTCTGGGAACTCGAAGACCACGAAGTGGCCTACAGTTGGCTCCGGGCATCCAAAATGTGGCCCGGGAATGGAGTTCTGGGAACTCGAAGAGCACGAAGTGGCCTACAGTTGGCTCCGGGCATCCAAAATGTGGCCCGGGAATGGAGTTCTGGGAACTCGAAGAGCACGAAGTGGCCTACAGTTGGCTCCGGGCATTCAAAATGTGGCCCGGGAATGGAGTTCTGGGACTCGAAGAGCACGAAGTGTGTGACTGTTGCATCCGGTTATTCAGAATGTGGCCTGGGAATGGAGTTCTGGGAAGTCGAAGAGCACGAAGTGTGTGACTGTTGGTGAAAAACGAGCCCGGCACAGGCCCAGCCGGCAACTCCCAACGCCTGCCCGGACCCCCCTGTGGAGTGATCTGTGAGCTCTTTTGAGTCAACTAGAAACCTATCAGTCTTCGCTGTTAGGTAAAAATCGTCGAACATCCCCCTGTAGGGGGACAGGCCCGACACAATGCCAGACGTGGTCTTGGCCAATTTTTTTGAATCTGTTTTGACCTCTTTGGGGTATTTCTAAGGTATTTTCTTTTTTCGTCGACAATCCCCCCTGTAGGGGGACAGGCCCGACACAATGCTAGACATGGTCTTGTCCCAATTTCTGGCCATCGCTCGGACGTCCATTCCCTGTGTTTTTTTTTCGGTTTCGTGCGTGGTTTCTTCGCCAAATGCTCAAGGATGCTCCTCGATGGTCCTCGCCGAAAGAAGAATGCACACGTCCGAGCGATGCCAGGACAATATTGTTGTCCCCTGGACTTGGACGACGAAGGGGGTACGGAGAAAAAAGGGTACGATGTCCAACAGCGCAGGTTGCCCGACACTGGCAGCAGCCGCTGTTGAGCGGGCTGCCTTCTGTCTCACATGAGCAAAGCCCGCGGCGACACTGACAGCAAATCCGGTTTAAGATGCACAAGAACTGCTGTCGGTCTTCGTCCCCAGTCTTGCCGCACCAACTTTGATCGCCTCGATGCCAGGCCAGCGTGCTCCCGGCTCTCCGCACCACCCCTGGAGCCCCTAAAGGTGCACTCTGCGCCTCGTGCGGGGCGCTCCAAAGGCCGCCGGGGCATCCTCCGGGATCCTGGGGGCACCTTGGGCCAGGGTTAAGTCGGGCCTGTCCCCCTACAGGGGGGATCGTCGACGAAAAATAAGAGATACCCGAAAAAGAATCCAAACAGAGTCCAGGGACTATTTCTAAACTATCCCGGCAAAGCAACCTAACAGCGATATGTAGAAGCATATCTGAAAGCATTCCCCTTCAGATTCAAATGAAAATCCAGTTGTAGAATTCTGCTGTTCTCGCAGTCGTAGTCGCATTCGCGATGACAGTCGCAGCGGCAACGGCAGTCGCAGTCACAGCCTCAGCCTCAGCCTGCCTCAGCCTCAGCCTCAGCCTGCCTCAGCCTCAGCCTGCCTCAGCCTCAGCCTCAGCCTGCTTCAGCCTCAGCCTCAGTCTGCCTTCAGCCTCGGCCTCAGCCTCAGCCTGCCTCAGCCTCAGCCTGCATCAGCCTCAGCCTCAGCCTCAGCCTGCCTCAGCATCAGCCTGCCTCAGCCTCAGCCTGCCTCTCAGCCTCAGCCTCAGCCTGCTTCAGCCTCAGCCTCAGTCTGCCTTCAGCCTCGGCCTCAGCCTCAGCCTGCCTCAGCCTCAGCCTGCCTCGGCCGCAGCATCAGCCTGCCTCAGCATTCAAAATGTGGCCCAGGAATGGAGTTCTGGGAACTAGAAGAACACGAAGTGGCCTACAGTTGGCTCCGGGCATTCAAAATCATGCCCAGGAATGGAGTTCTGGGAACTTGAAGAGCACGAAGTGGCCTACAGTTGGCTCCGGGCATCCAAAATGTGGCCCGGGAATGGAGTTCTGGGGAATCGAAGAGCACGAAGTGGCCTACAGTTGGCTCCGGGCATTCAAAATGTGGCCCGGGAATGGAGTTCTGGGAAGTCGAAGAGCACGAAGTGGCCTACAGTTGGCTCCGGGCATCCAAAATGTGGCCCGGGAATGGAGTTCTGGGAAGTCGAAGAGCACGAAGTGTGTGACTGTTGCATCCGGTTATTCAGAATGTGGCCTGGGAATGGGGTTCTGAGAGGTCGACGAGCACGAAGTGTGTGACTGTTGGTGAAAAACGAGCCCGGCACAGGCCCGGCCGGCAACTCCCAACGCCTGCCCGGACCCCCCTGTGGAGTGATCTGTGAGCTCTTCTGAGTCAACTAGAAACCTATCAGTCTTCGCTGTTAGGTAAATATTTGTTTTGACCTTTTTGGCATCCTCTGGAATCCTGGGGACACCTTGGGCCAGGGACATCTTCAACAACATTCGGCAACGCTCCCATCCTGGACCGTTTCCTGGCGGCCCCCGGGCTCGGGAAACTGACCCCCACGAGGCCGAAGCCCCCACGAGGGAGATACCGCAACGAGATGGTAGAACTCGCAGCCCCGGAGGCCTGGCCACTCTTCTCGGGTGTTCATTACAGCGAGGGGGGAGGGCAATAAACGTGCGGTGACGAAACATGCTCGTGGACCTCTTTTCGGCCCGCGGTGGCAGTCTCGGGTATTGGGGCCAACAAGGGACTCTTCAGGGCCACTCTCCTGAAATCCTCGCTCCTCCTGCGCTTCTTGCCCCGTGGCTGCCGTCCGCCCCATCTTCTCCGACCCCAGTCCTCAGGAAGACCTCCGGTCCACGCAGGCCACCTGGCAGCCTGGGCACGGGGGCGGCGGCAGCGCTTCCCACCTGTGCGAGGGCGTCGCGATCGGGGAGGGCCGGCTCAGGGGGAGAAGCGACGAGCTCGAGTCGGCGATGCATCGCCGACATATCGACGATGCGGCAAGTACTTAGGATGAGAAGTCGTAAAGAAACATAAGGACACATTTTGTCGTCGATCTGGTCCACCGCCGACAGCGTCCCATGGCATCCATGGGCCGACGGGGGCCTCGTGGAATCAGAAACTCCCGTTGGGCACCTGCTGGCAAACTGGTCTCTTAATCGGCGTGTCTACTGGACGTCGCCCCTGACTGTGGCGCGCTCGACCACAGACCCCCTTGTTACCCATCGGCCTCGGGCTGAATTGCCCGAAACATCCAGAGGTCCCCCCTGCCCTCAAGTCCCCGTGGCCCGGGCAAGATCCCATCTCCCGAATCATTTTTTAATCCTGGGGCCCAGAATCGGCCTCCGAAGGCCAAAGATAGCGCAAAACTGGGCGTCCCGATTTTGTTGAGCCGCTGTGCGTCTGGGATTACGGTTCACTCATGGTCCACTGGTCGAACATCCCTAGCATTTTGCGGCGTGATTCTGTCAATCCTCGGGCCCCCGAGGTAGTTATCGACCCCTTCCCTGGAGGCAGTCTTTCTAATCCTGGACCGAATTCTGATGGCCCCAGGGCCCCCAAAAAGACCCCTGGAAGCCGAAACCGATGGAACACAGCTGGGGCCCGAACATCACCACGTCGGCGGTAGGTCTGGCAAGGGTACGTGATCGACCATCCCAGCACCTGCACAACTCCGCGTCGAAGCGCTCGAGCCCACAGGCGGCGGCGTCGCCGCAGCCGCCGCCGCTGCCCCGGTCGCGCCTGCTGCCGCCTCCGCACAGGGCTGGGTCGGGTGCTCTCCCAAAGCAGCATCTCCTCTTGGTTCCTTCACTCATGAGCGTTACTCCTTGTGGATCCGCCTCCCCGGTGCGCATCGCGCTTCTCCATGGATGGAGACGCCCCATCGAGGCTCTTGCGCACTCTTTCTGGGCTGTCCAGGGAAAGCTTGCGACTCACACTGCGCTTTTGCCCCCCCCAGGCTACCACAACAATGGCTTCCGCCCGAGTCCCCTTGACAACTTCTTCAGGAATCTCGCCCGCGACCAGACTGGGGCGCGCCCTAACCAAAAATCCATGGGGAGTCCAGCCGTGGCCACGAGAAGCCCCTTGGAGGCCCGTGGGCGTGATAAGCGTCCAGAAACCTCGATCCTGGAACCTCACAACGGGTACGGGCAAGAATTTGAAGGATGTCTGCAGCTGAGTGAACCCCTAGCGGGGAGTCCGATACCCAGCGTCGTTTGGACCCGTGGCGATAGTCTTCGCAGGTGGCCGCAGAATCGAATCCCCTCTTTTCGCGAGGAGGAGGAGGAGGAAGAGTAGACTCGCCCGACGAGGGAGGTACAGGGGCGGGCCAGCAGGCACAAGGTATGGAGAGAAAATGACGTCCCACCCACCACCACGTCATCACATGCTACACGGGCACAAGCACACAACACAAGCAAACGAAAATACATGTCTGGGCGCGCCAGCCTATCCTGGGTGGACGCCGGAGTGTCGCATGTGCGGCCTTACCTGGTCCGCGTGCCGGAGGGTTCCAAAAGGGGGTTTTGGGGGAGCGGGTTTTCCAGAGAGCATCCCCCGGGGGCCTCGGCACCTCGTCAAAGCAGGGGGTGCGAGGCCCCTGGGGGACCCCTCCTGGAAAAAAACCTCCCCAAAACCCCCCTTTGGAACCCTCCGGGCGCAAGGAGGAGGATTTTCCTCGGGGGCCCACGAGGCAGAACAGAGCATTACCAGCCAGCACCGCACGGCAGTCTGACGGGTGTGGCAACGCAGGAGAGCTCCGACTCTCCCCAAGCCACAAAGCCTTAACCCGCAGGACTGCCGCGGGTTGAGGGCCGAGGTAGCACTCCATGCTCCTCGAAAGCCCGAGCTGCATTCTCCTCTCGTGCTGACTCGGGCCGCCAGCCCCTCCAAGGAAGGTAGGAGACGCACGCCAGAGTGCGTGGAGGTACTACCAGTAGTGGCTGCAGGCAGCAGCACGTACTTGGCAGAGGCGCGGCAAGTAGCGCCAGATCCTGCAGCTAACGTCTCCTCAGATCTGTAGTGAGGATGGAGACCTTGACGAATTCGATGGAGGGCGCCCCTGCCACTCGGTCCAGGCTCCCCCTTGCACCGCTCGCCGAGACGGAAGCATCTCTGGCTGGTGAAAGCTCCACATCTGAAGCAGAAAACCAGCATCTCACACTCGGCGGTCTGGCGCAGGGACGAGCACAGGAGGTGGCCTCGTTCGCTCTCCGCGCCTTGTAGGCGACGCAGTGCCGTGGGGAGCCCGTTGAACCCTAGCATTGGCCGATCGTCGCCATGTGACACCTTAAAACACTTGCTGCATCGGGCCGCACTTTCCTGGGAGCTCTCGTCGCCAGGGTCGAGGATGACCCATTCGTGCCAGCTCAGGGCACGCGGGGGAGGCATCATGGGGCCCGTCTTTTCCCGACGCAACTCGAGCTTCGGGAAACAGGAAAGCACTGCCGCAAACATCGTCACAAGCTTGCGCAGTTTGACAACTTCTTGATCCAGTCTCTCCAGCTCATCTGGGGCCAGGCTGGGGTGACAACTCAGCGCGTGCTTCGCCAATCTGTCCGCATCGGCGTTGCCTAGGGCAATCTTTCGCTCGTGCGGTGGGGGTGCTGCGATCACTCCTACGGAGCGATGCGCAGCCACATGTGAAACCGAGATGATGCTAGCCTGGCCATCTTCTGCTAGGGCCCTTCTTCGGATGCCCGCAAAAGTCTGATTGGGGTCCAACTGCGCAGCGGGGCTAGCGGGGGCCAACCTCGCGGCCCCCAAACAGTCGCTGTGCGCATCACTTCGTCCCGTGGCCAGGCAGCTGAGAGTGGCAATCCCCAGGTTTTCTCCAGGCTGCGCCGTCTGGGGAAGGCCTGGCCACACCGTGCCGAGAGCGCGGGCTTTTACTATGTAGTCCGTGCCTGGGGCAAGGAAAACAGCAGCATAGGTGGCCCGATTGAGCTCTCGAAAAACTCATGTGGTGGCCGACCCATCCACCGCGATCTCCGCGTCGAGGGTCAGTCTACAAAACTCATCGATCGTTAATGGCTCTCCCTCAGGTCCCTGGAGAACGGGGTCGAGGTCCAAACAAGGAGGAGGGGGGGTGGGCTGAGCCATTATCAACCGAAGCCAAAAAACACTCTGTCGGGCGTAGCCGCTCTCGCCTCAGCGATTCCTTCTTCGGACAGATGCTCTCGCCTAGCCGCTCGGGGCTCAGGGCTGTCACAGAAAAAACTGTCTGTGGACCAGGGAGTCAGGCTGACGACAAAGCGGACACAAACCGTCGTGAACGTACCCCGGGGATCTCAGCCTGTCTCCCGTCCAACAGGCCCCAGAGAAAACTGCACTCAGCCAGTATTTTTCGCGAGGGGAGGTACGCTTAGACCGCGTCGCTCTTTGGAGCGGGTCCGAAGCTACTCTGTCAGCGCTGAACTCTGGCAACGCCCGCGCCATGCGGCGCTCATGTGATCTCTGGACTCCCTCCTGCAGCAGCTGATTGACCAATGCAGGCGCCGTGTAGGGGAGATCGATTACGTACCCTCGATCGTCACGCCACACTGTGAAACTTGTGGCTGTCCACCCTATTCTGTGTAGGCTCAACAACATACGGTGCATGGGTCCCCGAGATAGCTTCCAGCCCGAAGGTTCAAGAACAAAGGGTTGAGCTTCCACCGTGTCCCGCCATATCTGGATGTGTTCTCGAAACGATAAATGCGATGAACGCGGCTGGGTGATGGGCCTCCAGACGCTCGAGGCCCATTGGGCCGCTGGTGCAACCGCCTGCTTCCACGCTGGGTCACCATGCAACGTCAATTTAGCAGTGAGGGGGGCACCTTTGTGTACTGGGCTGCGTCCCGCCACTAAAGTACTCTGAAGTGCCCGTAGTTCGCCATCCGCAAAACCGAGAATCATGGCTCCGTAGCCAGCTGCAGGACGAACCCCAGCAGCATAAATCTTCGACATTCTGGACTTGTCCCCTGGCAGTCGTTTGCGGTAGAACGACAAAAAACGGTGCCGGTGGCGCTTGTGTAGTCCTCCTCTGCATCCTCTCCCCTGGCCTGGCGCTAAATCTGTACCAAGAGATACTACTGCATTCGCGGCCACCGACGGACATGCCACTCGCAGCCTCCTGGAGAGCCTTGTCGCCAGACTCTGCGACGATGCGAAGGTCACGGCCTTGTCCTCCTCTAGGTGTACGTTCAACCGTTCCGAAAAAAAAAAAAACACTTTCAAGTCGTGGCCTGCCTTGGTTAGGTTCGCCACTATCTCGTCCTCATCTCCATGCGCGACTACCGTGTCATCATCTATGTAGGATCCTAACGATACCTGCGGGTTTCGGAGGGAGAACTGGTCGAAATCGCACATGGCATATGCTTTAACGAAGACGTCGTTAAAGATGTCCCCCGCAGGAAGGCCTGAGCCTGCAAAGAGCACTAGAGGGGAGCAGTTGGGGCCCAATCGGAGTATGCGGGGCCCTCGCCATAGATTGTAGAGGGTCTTGGTGAGGACCATGGGGGTGTCCCAGTAGACGGCTATCTCGGAGCCAAGCTAGAACAAACGACTCACAGTATTTCATCCCGTCATGAAACCTGCAGTGGCCTTCCCAGTCGAAGAGGCCTGTTCTGCGAGAACGCTTTGTTTCCAGATTGCAACCTCCGAACTTGTTCCATTTCCGAGAGACCAATGAGGCCGTTGGGCCCGCTCCACGAACTCATCCGCTTGGCCCCGTCGGAGCCTCTCCCACAGGCGCACTGGCGACCCCAGGAGCAGGATGGGCCGTAAACCTGACTTCGGCTTCTCCAAGAGGGGCATCAGCATCCACGGCACTTGGGGCGGAAGCATTCCTATCCGCCCCACCGCCTCAAAGAGTGGCGCCAGGACCTCCAGCCCCATGCCGCTGAGGCTGGCAAGGTGGCGCGGGTGGAAGCCGTCCAGCGACTGGGAGGTGCGCCTGCTGAAGGACCTCGCCGCAACGCGGAGCTCCGTCGGTGTAGCTCGCGGGAAACGCCCGCGAGTTGGGACCCAAGCTGTTGGCGGCTCTAGGCTAGCATTCCAGTATTCGCCTAGCTTTACCGTCTCATCCATGAGGAGGCTATTCGGGTCCGAAGTGAATATACCAAGGGAACTTTGCACAGCCGTGAGGGCCCACACCTTTTGAGCTCTGGTGACCCTGTGCATGAGCCTAGCGGAGCCTTGTAGTGCCTGAGTGGCCCCACTGCACCCCCTTGCAGGTGCCCCAAGATTCCCTTGCAACCCGCTCTCCTTCAGCTACTGCTTCATCAACATCAGCTTGGATATCTTGCAGGAACTGTTGTGAACGCTCACACCATGACTGCTGGGCCGAGGGGTCGATCTTACACATGGCGCGCAAGGAAGCATCAAGCCTGGCACACTGGCCTTCTCCCGCACAGCCGTGCTGCAAGGCTGCCTGGAGGCGGAGGCACATGCGCTCATCTAGGTCGTCCGACTGGACCACCGTGAAAAACTCAGTGAACGCGTTAAAGAGCCACTTCCAACCTGAAATGACCTGGACTTCGGCCGATAGAAAAACTGAAACCCAAGATGCCTTGATAGTCCTGCCCCTCTCTCCTAGTTCCCGTGGTTCAACTCCCAGAGTACTGCGCAGCTCCACTTCGGCAGCGTCAACGAAGTGCCCCGAGCCTTTGACAGCGCTCTCCAAGCGCGGCAGGCCGAGGAGAGCGATGCGTGAGCAACAGCTTGAGCATCGTGTGCTAGTGCACCTCGCCACTCTGCAGGACGGGGCGTGGGGCCATATGGAGGGTCATGAGGAAGCTTCTGATGAGATCGATAGATGAGCTGCCTGAGGGGGAGTGCCTCTGCTTTGATCTTCAAACGTACTGGGCGGTGCGGCTTGACCTCCCACTTGGTGTCGACTGCGACACCGCCAATCAGTCGAGCCATCCCAGGGCCCAGCAAGAACCTATCAATAGTGCTGCTGGAGGCTGGGGGCCTGCACGTGGGCATCGTAGGAGCGACGACAACCATGCCTAATCGACGAGGAAAGCCAGCCTCTTCAAGAACTTGTGGTGACAGGTTCCGATCCCCTCCGATGATGGCGTTCTCCGAATCCAAAACAGACCTTCCAAGAGCCGTCAGGATGTTGAGGTTGGCCTCGCTGAGGCCTTCCGCAGAACGTAGGTAAACCGAGTAGAGCGACACCGCGGGCCATCCAGGGAAATCCAAGAGGACCTTGATAGCTCGATGGGCCACGACACATCCATCACCTCCCCTTTCAGTGGGCCACCTGAGCCCAACCGCCAAACGAGCGAAAACGCCAACTCCACTAGATAACTTTCCAGTCTCAGGGTTGAGTCGAGCAGGGAGGAGGAGGGCGTGCCAGCCAAGTCCACGCGCCGTACTGGTGGCCTGCCCTAGAAACTCTTCGCTGATGCCCAGCTCCTGAACACAGAGTACGACTGCATCCGTCTCCGTGAGACGGCGTCGAAGTGTCTTCCAGCACGAACCGTTGAAAGACTCGATATAAAACGAACTATTCTGCACACCCTTGGGGGCCCCTCTCAGGGCTGGCACTGGCCGACCTGATGCAGAGAGCGGGATCCCCGAAAGCAGAGGGCCAGGAATGCCGAACATAGTGTCACCCACACTTTTGTTTCTTGGCCTTGACCCCCATTGTGCGCAGAAGTGTTGTAAACTCTTCTGAATGCTCCTCGCCATCCTTCCTAGCGGCTGCCAGGATCTTCGGGATGTCCTCAGAATCAAGATCGTCCAGCTCGACGTCCATTTCGTCATCCCCTGGAACTGGAATAGAATCACCCCCTGGTTCTTGCTTTGGAACTCCTGGGCCCCCAGGGATACCTTCAGCAGGAGTTGGGGGTGAGGGAGGTGTGTTGGCCTTGACCTGCGCCGCCTGTGCCGCCAGCAGCTCCTGGTACTTGGCGAAAGACGGGGAAGCCACCAGCTGCTGCACCTCAGGCGGTGCCTGCTCGAGCGTCTCGGGCGACAGCTGCGTGCATGGCGCGGTCTCCTGGGACGGGGCCACCTGCTGCAACGTGCTGCGGAGCTCCACCTGGAACGCTGAGATCTCGACCTTGACCGCATGGATCTTGTCGCGAGCCTGCACCAGAGCCTCCTGAGCGTCCTTGATGGCCTGAAGATGTTCAGCAGCCTCTTCTTCAAGCTTGGCCAGCTGCTGTTGGCGCTTGGCCAACTTGTGGCCGAGGGTGGTGTGCCTTGTGGCTGCAGGCTTGCGCTCCGTGATCGACTTGCGCACCGCAGCCAGCTCTGACTCCATCTGGGCCCGTGTGGCCGAGGAGCCCAGCTCAGGACACTTCTTGATGATGGCGAACGCCTCCTCCATGGCGTCCGCCTTGGCACGAAGGGCAACGAGCTCCGTGTCCACCACACCATCGCCTTCTTCAGCATCGGGCTTGGGCTCAGGTTTGCGGGCAGCACCAGCGCCTGCACCTCCTGCGCGCGCACTTCCCGCATTGGCTCCTGCGCCCTTGGTGAGCTGCTCGAACTGCTTCGCCAGGTTGGCCAGCTGCTGCTCGATCTTGGAAGCGTTCCCACCTGACTTGACTGCTGGTGGACCGCGCGCCCATGCACCGCGAGGGCCAGAAGGACGAGGCCCATCTGCAGGACTGGACTTCTTGGCATTCTCCTTGGCGCGCTGGATGACCGACTGGGGTGCTGCCTTGCCACAGACGCAGCGGACGCGGCAAGCCCAGTTCTGATTACGCCCACAGCGAGGGCAGCCCCAGCAGGGCTGCCGCGGACCTGGGAGCACCGCCTCATCGTCCTTGGCCATGGGACCTGCCGATGAGGCGTCGTGGATAGTTGGAGGGAACAGGTCCCTCGACCTGCGTACCGAGCCAGAAAGACCCGCAACGGCGACTGCCACTTCGTAGACGGCCGTTGCAAGCCCAGAACTTCCTGGGCCGAAATGGCTCGCAAGGAGGAGGAGGAGGAGGAGGAGGAGGAGGAGGAGGAGGAGGAGGAGGGAGCGAGGGGGGGAAGGAAGCGAAGAGGAGGAGGAGGAGGAGGAGGAAGAGGAGGAGGAGGAGGAGGAGGAGGAGGGCCTCTGGCCGCGGAGCGCGGCGCCCTCTCCCCGACCGCGTGGAGGCTGCCGCCCGCCGCGAAGAGGTGGCAGGGCGAGAGCTCCTCCGGCGGCGGGGGGGAGCCGCCTCCTGCCAGGCTGCGCCTCCTCCCGCAATGCGGGATGGCGATTGATAAAAAACGGGAGAGAACGATTCAAAAACAAGTTTTCTGCTGTTTCTGCACAAGTCTCTGACTGGAGGAGAACAGTGTAAAAGAACAATTTTCCAGCCCGCGGCCGGCTGTTTCTCATCGTCATCCCGTGCGCCGCCGCGCGAACACGACCCCCGGTCATTTATCAATCGTTATCCTCCATTAGGTAAGCGCGTTCCGCTGCTCGCAGAGTCCCTACTCGCAAATGGCATGGATCCGCCATGGGAGATTCACGACAAAAATCGCATCGATGCAGACCTGTTTTTTTCCTTACGTTTGCGAGTGGGCACTTTGCGAGTAGTGGAACACGCTCGGTGATCCCTGATTCGGAGGCGCGCTGGGGGGGGCGGGGCTTCTCAGAAGGCGGCGGGGCTTCTAAGAAGCCCTCCGGCCTTCCGAGAAGCCGTCGGCATCTTCGGGGAATACCTTGGAAGCTTCTCAGCCGTCCGGAAACCGTTTGAGCCTTTCCCCCTGGGCGCGCCGTCGCAGACTGTGCTTCCTCCCTGGTGCCACTACAGTAGGGACACACGATAAGAAGCCTTGCTATGAGACATTTCCGGGCACAACCTCCGTCGCCTCTGAGCTTCGCAAGGTGCCCCAAGGCACTGTGGGCCCATCGGACACAAGACATCATTCTGGGATGCCCGCTGGCAGGGTGGTTTCTCATTTGGTGTGCCTACGTTATGTGCCACCAAACATGCTCGCAAGACTCATCAACCCAGTATCTGGGGTTTGATGCACCACATCCTGCCTCCTCCTCCATCATCAATTGTTCGTGAAAAGTGGCTCTGCCTCGTCGCAACACAAAACGTGCCGGTATGGCGGGCCAGGCGTTTCGCATGAGACTTCCTCACCGCTCATGATCCTGAAGCTTCAGCTTGCCACAAGCCACACGGATGAAGGGTACATCGTTTTCCAAATGTGGTTTCCGCCTCCGCGCTGCGCGCTCTTGTAGCCAAATATCATTACGGGTGCACGGATTCAGGACGAGTGGTATTCAACATGAGGCTCTCCCCTCAGCGCCGCGCGCATGCGCCTTTGAAGCTTCCGACAGTCAGACAGATGCAGGACGATAGGTTCTCAAATGTGACTCTCTCGTCATCGTCTCGCAACCGTCTTGCAAGTTGCGAGCAAGTCCCAAATCGGAGGACACATTGCTTTCAAAATGTGGCTATCGTTTCGTCGACGCCGTGCGCGTTCGTCTTAACAGCTGCAAGCGGGTACCAGGTTGCAGAGCACATGGCTTTCAACATGTGGTTCTCTCCTGAGCGTCGCGCACGTTTGCTATAAGCATTGCCACCAGTTGTATGGATGCAGGGCGACTGGCTTTGCATCGTGGTACTTCTTACCCCCAGAAGGATGGAGGGGGAGGGACACTCTGTTCCAAATGGGGATGCCACTTTAACGCAGCGCACACCCTCCCCTTACCAGTTAACGCGTGCACAGATGGAGGGCGGTTCCTTCTCGAAGTTGGGCTCTGGTGGGAGGCGTCCTCAAAGTGGATGCCATACATGTAACTATGTGGAACAGTTGCACGGATGGAGAGCGACTCCCTGCAAACATGGGCTCTTGCATGTAAGTTCCGCAGGCGTTGTGACCAGAAGTGTGAGCTCTGCAACACCTGCACGAACAAGACTCGATTTCTTTTCAAACGGAGGCTCTCGCTAGACACTTCTAACCAGCCTCGAACGTATCCCTATCCCTAAGATGGGCGAGCAAAAAGCGAGGACAATCTTAGGGATAGGCCCTCAGAAACTGAGGGAATCCTTAAGATCGGCATCGAGGTGAGGTGATGTCAAACATAGGGATAGGGATCTGTTTCAAACTGGTAAACTTCCTTGGCATTCACGATCCTACCTCTTCGACTTCCGTATGACCAGAATGCGGGAGGGCCGCTCCTTTGCGAAGCGGGCTTCTCGCCGGAATGACAGGCCCGTGCGGCGCTCTTCTGTCAAGGGGGCGCTTGATGCAGCGAGCAGGAACCATTGCAGGGACTGGGGCGGGGACTTGGGATGGGAGGGTACGTTGAGGCATCGCCCACGCATCGTGGGATTCCTCTGGACCTCCTCCTCCTCCTCCTCCTCCCCTTCCTCTGGAGACCTCCGGGAACATTTCGAGATGTTCGAGAAAGACCTTCTCCTGCTGCGGTGCTCCTCTTCGCTGTTTTCCTCCACCCGACAAGTCGGGGCTCCCCAAGGTTGAAGAGATCGTTCCCGCCCCGCCTCGCCCGCCCTGCATGCCGTGGCCGCCGGGCCCTGATCATCCTGGTGATTCCTGGGTGACCCGTCTGGCCCGCCCTTCACATCGTGGCCGCCAGGCCCCAGAGATCCCCGAGAGTCCGATGACGACATCATGAGCTAAGCGTGTGAGACAAACGAAATTTATAGACAACCCCACCAGGAGGCGTCATGTCGTGCAGACGTCGGGACGTCCACAGGCATTCAGACCCGGCATCCAGAGTACACGCCACGAACACACAACAACACCTTACGTTGAAAACGTGCGTACGTAACATCCATATCGCACAACAATGACAGACACGGCGCAAACAACATACATCGGTACCACACGCCAACAACATACGCAACACAGGAGCCACGCATAGGCATCCAACACGCATGCGAAAACATACACAATCCATGCATGCGTAACGCACATCAGCCGCATTTACCAATAACCGACACCCCTAACGTACATCATACTGTGTATCACGGGTGCATATCCCTAACGTACTTCAATAGTCTGCACAAACTACGCAGCATCAACACGTACCACCAACGCCATACCTACATACCGTACACCAATCCCATCAGCCCTTGAGGGCGTGAGTGGTTTAGAGCGTTTCCTCTTCCAACCGCCTTCTTCCCCTTCGGGGATGGGTTTACCCCTCCCCCTAACCCCTGACAGGCCGGGCCGCAGGTCGTCAGCACGTCCAAGATGGCCTCGGCGAGACGGCCACAATCATAGATGTTACTGAGGTCTTGGCCGCATTTTAGCCTCCTGGGAGGGGGGGGGCAAAGTACTACGGTCCCTCCTTTGATCGATCTTCTCCTAGATGGCCCCAACATGGCCCCCGAGGCTCCCAAGGGTGTCCCAAGATGAGCCCAAAGGGCTCCAAGACGGCCCCAAAAGCGCCCAACAAGGGGTCCAAGCGGTGATTTTAGGGGCTCCAGAGGAGCAAGGCTAAGCGATATTCGCCAAGATGGCCCCCGAGTCTCCCAAGAGTGCTCCAAGATGGCCCCAAGAGCCAAAAGGCCCCCAAGAGACACCCTAAAAGGCCCCAAGAGTTCCCCCCCGAGGCACCCGAGGCGCTCGAAGAGGCCCCCGGGGCCGCCAAGAGGTCCCCAAGACGAACCAGGAGGACTCCAAGAAGCTCCCAAGGGACATCCGAAGAGTCTCCGAGAGACATCCAACAGGCCTCTGGCCTTTCTGCTCGTCCTCCTCCTCCTCCTCATCCGCCTATTCCTCCTCCTCCCACTCCTCCCTCATCCCTCCTCCCCTCCCCCCGCCCTGCTCCTCCTCTTCCTCCTCCTCCTCCTCCGATCCCTCCTCAATCCTGGTATGACGGCTTCCCTGGCCCTTTATTCCACTGCATGCTCCTCAACATCCCTGATCAGGGCAACTCACCTGGGTATCAATTCTTGATGGGCTGGTGAGGTTACGCGAAATCTCTAGACTAGCAAGTACCAACTACGCACATTGATGATACACGCACACGCATCGATAGTGTTCCTGGGCAAACCCAATGGCAGAGACTAACGTCATACACCGACAGCGTACAGCAGTACCACGCATTAGTAACACACGCCCGCCACATGCGTTGATAACATCGTTCCTGCTACTGGCACCACGAACATGTATCGGCAGCATACACCAATCACAAACACCGATCGCGTAAACCAATAACACATTTTGATACTATACATCAAGGAACACTTGACCGTCAATCACTGCCATGCGCACGCAGCAACCACCACTTACACACATCGGTACATCAAACATCAACATGACGCCCCAAGCATATACACCAGCAACATACAACACTCACACACACACACACCAATTTTTAACCACACACGCCAACACCATACACCAATCACCTACGTTATACGCACGCACCAAGTATATGAACCGCGATCGTACACCTGGCGCAGGCGCCAATGCCGCACGCTAATCACACACATGGCGAACCCATATCAGCAACAGACACCACCTACACCTAGTACATGAAACAATCACCCGCGCGCACACATCAAGCACACGCCGTAGTCCTACACACCAGCAGTGGGTACCAACAACATCCATCAATCAAGAAATCAATGCAGACACCATTGCCATGCGCGAGCGGATTACACTAGGAGCAGGCATCTTGATGTACTGGAACTCATTGGCGGGGATCGCTCGAACCACTTGGTAGTTCTTTCTTGTTCCCCAGGGGTACACACAACTTCTGGGGGCCTTCGCAGACTTCTGGGGAGTTCTGGAGGAAATGAGATGCTCCCCTCCTCTCCGTCGCCGCCCCCTCACCTGCCTTCAGACCCCCTCCCCCCCTCTGCCCACTTTCTGATCCCTCCGCCCTGCCTCGCCATCCTTGAGTCTTCATCATCCTCTCCGGCCCTCCTCATCCTGATTCTCCTCCTCCTCCTCCTCCAGCTCCTCTCGTGTCTTGCTTTCTCGTCGTCCAGGCTCCCCGAATAACCCTGAATCCCCGAGGACACCTCAGGCTCGCACAGCCCCAATGGTATCAGAAAGAGTGGGAACCAGCACTCCTTCTCCTTCTCGACCTCCTCCCGCCCTCGCTCCTCTTCCTCACCTTCCTCCTTCCCCTCCTCCTGCTTCTCCTCCTCCGTCCCCCTCAACACAGGCTCTTAAACCCACAAGAACTTTTCAACGGAGGGGCAGACGTCCACAATAATCGAATACAACTCCAGAGTGGAGGTCGGCACATACTCCTGTTCATCCTTATCCCCCTCCTCCTCCCCCGTCCTTCCTGCAACTCCTTTGGCCCTTCCTCAACCAATCGTCGTAGCAATTTCTGGAGCCCGCTAAGACTCTCCTCCTTTTCCTTCCCGTCCTCCCCCTCCTCTCACTTCCGCTCCCTTCATATTCCTTGCACTCCGCCTCCTCCTCCTCCTTCTCCTCTTCCTGCTCCTCCTCCTCCCTCCCTCCTCCTCCTCCTCCTCCTCCTCCTCCTCCTCCTCCTCCTCCTCCTCCTTGTTCTCGTCCGCCTCCCACCCCTCCTCCTCCTCCTCCGCCGCCTCCTCCTTCTCCTCTTCCTCCCCCTCCTCCTCTTCTTCTTCTTCTTCTTCCTCCTCCTCCTTCTCCTCCCCCTCCCCTCCACCTTCCGCACACCAGAACCCTGGAAACCGCAACAAATATCAGAAGATCTCCAACAGCCGCCAACACACTACCTAGCCGTTCTTCTCCATCCCTCCTGACGATTTGCCTGCATTCTCCAAGTCTCTGCAGGTCTCCAGGGGTCCCGGGGGCCTGGATATCGTTGGAGGCGGAAGAAAAGGGACAGGTATGCATGACATCCTCGATCCACGAACCTCTTCCCCCTCCTCGTTCCCCCTTATCTCCTTATCCTCATCCTCTTCTCCATCCCTGTCCTCATCTTTTTCCTCCTCTTCCTCCTCCCCTTTCTCCTCCGCCTCCTCTTCCTCCTCCCTCTACTCCTTTTCTTCCTTTCCTTTCCTCCCCTTCTTCTTATTCTTCTTCCTCCTCGCCCTCCTCCTCGCCCTCCTCCTCCTCTGCTCCTCCTCCTCCTCCTCCTTCTCCTCCTCCTTCTCCTCTCGAAGCCCCTCCTCCGTCGTGGGCGGCATCTGCTCCCAGCGCCCAGTGGCTGGATCGAAGCGCAGGCAAGCGCTCTTGTACCTCGGCGGGTCCAGATGTGGAACTGGCGCAGAGGAGAGCGGGAATGGGGAACGGGGGGGGGGAAGGGGAAGGGCGGGAGGATTGACGAGGGGGAGGGGAACGGGGGGGGCGGGGGAAGGGGAAGGGGAAGGGGAGGGGAGGATTAACGAGGGGGAAGGGGAAGGGGAACGGGGGGGCGCAGGCAAGCGCTCTTGTACCTCGGCGGGAATGGGGAACGGGGGGAGGGGGAAGGGGAAGGGCGGGAGGATTGACGAGGGAGGTTGGATGAGTAAGAGAAGTGGGATTGAAACTGGGAATGTGACAACATCAAAAGTGCACCGACAATCGGCAATGCTGACGACAAACATGCAATGCAACGGAGGACCGACCCTCAAGACGAGCTGTTGCGTTGGGTGGCCTTCTCCGTCTTGCTCAGAAGCTTTGGCCAAGATCCCTCGAACGATTCTGGGAGATACTCAAGCCTGTTGAAGGTGGGGCGCATACAAGGACGGTCGAATCCGTCTAACAATTGGTGCTCGTAACACCCGCACCTCCCGCAAAGCCGCAATTTGAGACCTCCATGCCACTGCATTCGGCGAGATGGATCAACACAGCCCCCAACTGTATGCAATATGGCCTTGGGGGGCTTATTGAACAACACTTCGTTACAGTTCTAGGGCTCGAGATACGGTGTCTGCCGCCAAGACGTGGCTCGCGCCTTGGTGGCTGAGCCTCCGCATCGTGTGCGCGGACGCCCAGACTCATCTAGGCAGTGAGAGGAGAAGCGGGAGGGCGAAACAGCATGATGAGGGGCGGGAGGCGCGGAGGTTGACCTCTTTCCCTGCAAGTCGACGATGCTTTCCTTCTCGGCATCGCATGCGTCGGAATTTGCGCGCAGAATGCGCACGTGCACCAATCGTGCACGGTGCTCGTGTGAGAGAGCAGAGGCTCGGACGTCCTGAGGGAGGCGTGCCTGGCTTGCCGCGAGGCCTGCAACTTCGCCCACGACCGCATTGCAAATGACCAGCTGCCTCGGAGCCACTCGCCTCGCCGCGTCCTGTGCCGCGAGGTGAGAACCGGCAAACAAAAATATGCTCACAGACTCAGCGCGGCCCTCTCTCTCTGGCGGAGGACTTGGCCTAGCTGTGGCCACAAATCCTGGTCATCACCCACGGGGTGCTCGGCATGGCGACTGAACCACCCCCTCTACAGCAGGCTCACAATCTGACGCATAAAGGATGGGCCCTCGTGTGAGCCACACTGCCAACACAAGGGCTCGACGCTCGCCCCTGGCCACAACCTGGCGTGGGCCGCGCAGTGGCCCTCGTACTGAGCTTCTGAAAACGACTTCTGGCTCAAGAGACGCAACGAGCGAGACTGCAACACCGACTCGGCGGACAAGTCTGCCGTTGCTGTCTGGCCCCCCGCCAGCATCTCCACTGCGGGTGAGAGGGCGCTCGACGTGCCTTCCCCCAATCATCCCTGGCTGACCTCGTTGAGCCCCAAAGGATCCAAGATTCGACGGAGGGAGGGGAAGGCACCGCCGTCCACTCTGACGGCAGCATGCCTCTGAGCCAGAAGCCTCCATCCATGTCCATATATGTAAACGCTGGCGGGATCAAATCCTGATATTCGTCATATGCAGGTTTGCCCGAATTACATTCGCAGAGCTAAATGCAATGCTGTGGAGTCTCTGGCTCCTTGCCGCAGCGTGGGCACAGGACGTTGCCGTCGAACCGCGACAACTCACCCTTGCGCCTCTGCATCGCCCACGCGCCACCTACAGCACGCGACGGCACGGTCTCTGAAATGCGATGCCCATCTTCAGGCGCCGCTGCAAGCTGCTGGAGGAAGACGCGATGGGATGCGCTATCCACTCCTCGCCCCAATCCTGATCCGCAAAAGCGTCGGTTCGCGCCGACCCAAAGCTGGTGGCTCAAAGAGCTTCTGAAATCCTCTCAAAAGGCGGAGCGGGAACCGAGGGCCTTCTCACCTGTGTGCACGGCGTCGTCAAAGCGCCAGTCGCCCCCCGCTGCAAGAAGTGAAGGGGGTATCGCCCAGGCATTGGGCTTCTCTACCCCCCAGCCTGCTTGCAGACGGTGATGGACAGCTTCAGTGTGAGGACCACGTGCATGTCTGGCTCGCTGCTCCTCAGGCACTCCTCGTAGGTGTCGCACAGACCTGCTGTCAAACCTGTCGGACTCCAGGCCTGAGCCCATGTTGATTCCTCCATGCGGAGAGATATTGGTCGAGGCGCGCCGTCGGCAACTGGATGACAGGGTCGGCGCGCCAGCGCGAAGCGCAAGCAGACTGGTCAGACGCCGTCCACGTGTAAGTGTCGCAAAAACAAACTAATCGCATCCGCAATGCAGGCTTCTGGCCGCCGAGGGCTCCGTAGACCCGATGCCCAAGTACCTCCGCAGCTTGCGCCCCTTGGCGCTCGAGGCGCCCGCGCGTCTGATGCTTCTTGGCGGCGTGCGCGAAGCGGCGCACCTTGGCAGTCATGCGCTTGTGCTTGGCCTCACGCGCAACTCTGGTAGCTCGCGCCTGGCTGCCCCCGCCGGCGATGTCAACTGTGCGATCGGCTGCTTGAAGCTTGCGTCGGGTCGCGCACCTTGCCCTTTCGGCTTCAGCCGCAACCAATTGGGCGCCCTGGCTAAAACAGACCACAACATATTCGGGCGACGCGCTCAAAATACGCTTGCGTAGCTCCATGCACGCGTCGGTGATGCACCATGCGAGCTGCCGTCTGACTGCAGACCTCGACAATCGCACTCCCTGGGGTAACCCAACGAGCAAATTCCGATGACCCAATTGTGGATGGGTCACAGCGATGGCCGCCAACGGGTAGCGGCCCATGACCTCCCCGAAACGGTCGCCTGACCTCAGGCCGTGCACCGCGCCGCACGTCGGCTGCAAGGCCCGCGGCGCCTCGCCGAGCTGGCCGGCCGCGCGGGCCGCCAAACATTTCAACGACTCCAAGTGCAGCGCTGTCGGCGGAAAAGACATGCTGAGCGAGCGCGTCGCATGCCCAGGCCACTCGATGGAGTCATAGAACGACTGGATGTCCACGAGGCGCTCGCCACAGGCAATTCCCAAGTGGCGAGGCACTTCCTGCTGGAGAACTCGCAGGACACCTCGCGGAAGATCGGGCCCCCTTGGACTGCCGCGTCCCAGGGCGCCTCCGCGCGCCAGCGGGGTCGCGCGCCAGGCTCCACGGGCGGCCTATCACGGGCGCGAGGCCGATGGCGCGGGCGCCCGTGCTCTTCTTCGGCAGCGCGCGCCCCGCTATCAGGAGGACCCGCGCAGGCCGCGCCAGGTACCGCTCGCGCGCCTCGAGAAACAACGCCAGTTCAGCCATCGCTGCGTCCGGAAGACGTTCGAAGCCCTCTGGAGAAAGCACGACGAAAACCGAACCCCCAGTCGCAGCCGCAGTGGGCGAAGAGTGCCTCTGATATCCGCCACAGTGATGGGCCGAAGTTGGTCGTCCAGGGCTGCGTCCCGAGCTTGCTGAGAGGCGCGGTGGGCAGCTTCCTCATTGCGCGCCTGAAGCGCCCATGGATCATGTCATGTCTTAGCATTCAGGCCGATAGTGTCGCTCGGGTTGTAGACCCTCCGCTGCGTGCTCGAGCTCCTGGGCTGGAAGGACCTGGCGATTCAGGGACCTGTCGAGCGTGCCGATAGACTCTGCTTTGCCCACGAAGTCACGAAGGTTTCTGAGCGATTCTTGCAGCGTTCGTCGCTAGGCACGCCCCATCAACCGCTCGGACAAGGAAACATGCTGATCCAATTCTGCCAGCGAGGCCTCGCCAGCGCTGCGCACATGTCTCTGCCATTCTGGCCAAGACGGGCCACGTCCTGCCATAAGGGCACGCTGCGCATCATCTGGGCGCGTGTCCATGTGTCTTACGCATGCCGCGGTGTACTGGTCGATCGGCATTGGACCGTTGCGCGTGCCCCGATGCAGGCGAGGCGCTGCGAGGGCCGTGTGCAGTTGAATCCGCCATCCGCTGGCTTGGCACCGCAGAGGCATAAACCCGAGCTTCGCTGGCATCTGGACGGCGGTCACTCTGAATCGCGGGCCCTCTGCCCAGCGCGGGCCAGGCGGGATCGCAATCCGCGGCGCGCAGTGATGCTGGATTCGACAGCTGACGCCCGATAAGCGCATGGGCCTGAACTTGCGCAGAGAAAACCCGGCCCGAGCCGAGCGGCCGCGGACTGACGCGGGGCAGGAACAAGGGACTGAAGCGAGCGGGCGCCGGGCGCGAGCCCGACCTCTCTCCGACACCGCCCCCGCAGTTTAGGGGGCATGGCGCGCGGCGGGGCTCCTCCAGAGGCTTCGCGTCGAGGTCTGAGGACAGGTTCCCAACCCGCTGGGGGTCCTGGGTCACCGCCTGAGATGGGCCGGGAGTTGGGGCGCCAACCGAAATCGACAGCGCCCCCCTCCCCCCCGCGCGCCCTCGGCCACCCCAGGCGCGAATGCCCAATGATCCCAGGGCCCAGAGTTCTGCAATCCTGAACGCGACGTTTAAACCGAGCAAAAGCGTGGCCCCTGGAAAACTTGGGGACAAAACTGGACGCATCGGCCCATGGGCCCTCCTCCTCCTCCTCCTCCTCCTCCTCCTCCTCCTCCTCGTCAGGCCATTCAGAGTAATCTAACTCAGCATAGCGCTTCCTCGGCTCTCGGAGCGTCGCGGCCCCGGGCTCCTGCCTCAGCGCGCGCGCAGGTCGACCGCGCGCCGCAGCCTCCGAACACGGAGGGGTGCGAATCTGCCGGCGCGCTCATCAACTGTATTATGATGCGGTATCTGGCGCTGAACTTTGGCCTTGCTAGATTTGGACCCGACTGTAGGCTCGGGCCCGTTGGGAACCTGAAGAGCGGGCGCCGCCGCCTTGGAAGCTGCCAGCCGGGATGCTTGGAGGTGGCCATTGGGCCTTTGGGTCTGATCCACTCCCCGCCCTCGCTCGCGAACTCGGCGTGGGCGTCTGCGACGTGTCTGTCTGGGCGACGAGCAAGGCTGGCATGGGGGAAAAGCCGCTTCCCTGGGCCTTGCCATCGAGTTGACGAGGAGATCGCTTATGATGAATATGCGTCTCAACGGCGCTGAAGAATGCGCGCGGCTGCCGCGCCAGCCATGGCCGTGCATTGCCATCCATGCACGCAACATTCCCATGGCAGAGCTTGGGCGTGGGGCCCCCGCAGCCGTCGTATTTGCCGCATTCCGTCCTGCTGCTTCGACGGCTGGAAGGTGCCAGCGTCCTCAGCGTTGCTCTTGCCTTCTCCTTCGCTGCCTGGAACTTCGCCTCTGACGAGCGCGTCGTCTCCGCGGCGACGGCTGCTGCGTCCTTGCCGCTGCGGGCGTGGCTGGAGGTCGCCGCGCCTCCGGGGCGGCGCCGTCGGCGCAGGCCGCTCCCGCTGCGCCGCTGGCCCCTCCAGCGGCCGTCTGCGGCTGCGATGCGCCCTCGCCTGCCGCGTTCTATTTCTTCTTGGCCGACCTCTGCTCGATCCCGTCCTTCAGTCTCTGGGCGCGCGCGAGCCACTTCTGGGCCTCGCCCTCCGTCGCCGCCGAAACCGACGCGGTCGCGCCCGCTTTTCCTCAGCTGACGTAGGGCGACCATCTCGTTGCCCCTCGCGCTCCGTGATCTCGACGCTGTCGAAGAACTCCTTGTCGCGCGACGCCTGGGAAATACTCTCCTCCTGGGCGGATGTCGCCCCCTCGTGTTTCTGCGCCTCCAGCGCGGGCCCCGGCGCGGGCAGCGGCGCGTCTGGCTTCGAGCGCCCCCGCGACATCCGCGGCTGCCTTGACCTCCTTGGCCTCCGCCAGCTCGAGCTGCTGGCGCAGCTTCAGCGCGTGCGCAACCTGATGTCCGCGGCGATGGTCGGCGCCCTGCCGGACGCCGTCTTCCCGCGACGGGCCCTCGCTGGCGCGGCGGCCTTGGCCGAGGCTGCCTCCGCCTTCAGCTTCGCGACCTGCTGCTCCGAGCTGGCCTGGGGCGTGGGGCCGGCGGCGGGCCCCAGGGCCTGCCGCGACGCGTCGGCCGTGGCAGAGGGCCTCTCCGAACCGCGGCGCGCCCCCCCCGCCCCCGCGGGCTGGGCGGGGGGGCGCGGGGTGCCGCGCGGGCGGCCTTGGCCCAGCTGGCCAAGTCGTCGGGCTCGATGTTCCAGTCCGCCAGGGTGACCCACGGCCACTCGAGGCTGCCGACCCAGGACTGCAGGGCCTCAAGCAGCGCAATGTTGTCGCCCGTGACCCCGATGCCGCCCGCCATGTAGGCCGAGACGAAGAGGATCGGGAAGCCCGGGCCCGCGTTGAGCTTCGCGGCTCTCGCCCAGCGGGGCCCCGGCACACTGCGCTGCTTGGGCTCCTCCACGCAGGCCGCCGCCATCGCCCTGAGGACCGCCGCTCCTCCAGAGCTGCCCAGGGGCCCTGGGCCCGTGTCCTGAGCTAGACCTCCGAAGAACTCAAAACCAGCGCGCCGAGCCCAGGTCGCCGCCGACTTCAGCTTGGCGCCATGCTTCATGCGGTGCTCCTGCAAGCCGACGACATCGAACGTCATCTTCTTGTCCCTGCTCCGCTCCAAGAAGGCCTGACCGCTGGCCCAAGAGTTGGCGTTGGCCGACGCGATCAAGAGCTTGTCGGGCGCCTTGACGTCGGCGATGCGCTTCTGACCGTCTGCGCTGGGGGCAGGGGGAACTCCTGCACCTCGAGCCGCGCTGACCCTCGACCCACCGACGGAAGGTCGCCGGGCACGAGTATCCAGCCCACCTCGCCGAGGCCCAGCTCCGCCGCAGACCTGGGGCCCCAGCTTCCCCGCGCCCTCCCCCGAAGCGGGCGCGGTCCTGCCAGGCCTGCCGATCGCGCTCGACTCCTCCGACGGCGACCTGGCAGGCGCTGCGGGGGCGGCCCCGCGGGCGGCGCCAGCAGCGCGCCTGCCAGGCGCCAAGCCGATTTTTTCCTCCGCTTCGGACATGGAGCGCCCGTGCCGCGCCACCTGCTCCCCCCATTCCTGCGCGTCGGACTGGGCCAGCCTGCGCATGTTGGCGTGGTAGTTGGCACGCGTGCGCCGCCGTGCGGCCCGCGCCTCCTCGCAGATGTCCTGCGCCATCCTGAGTCTGACCACGCCCATGTTGCCGACGCCCGCCGTCTGGGCAGCCTCGGTGACGAGTGGCGCCCGCGCGCCGTGCGTCAGCAGGTCGGCCACGTAGGGCGCGCGCAAGCGCAGCCAGCGCGCTCTATCTCCAGCTTCGTCGAGCACAGAGACGTCCTGGAGCCGGAACGTGGCGTGGGCCCTCAGCCTCCTCCCGAGCGCCATGCGCGCCATGCGCGCCGACGCGGCCGCTCGCTTCGCAGGCTTCTGGCCCTTGGCCTCCGCGAAGCCTCCAGCGACTCCGCGACCCGCGGCAGCACCTTGAGAACTAGGCCTGCCTTCATGTGGCGTCTTCTGTCGCCCCTCCGCCGATTCCCGCCCGCGGGATCCTTCGCGTGGGTCCAGGGGCCCGAGTGGGCCCAAGCCCTGCGCGGGTTCCATTTGCGAACAGGTCTGTCTCCCGCTCCCCTGGGACAGCGAGTGCGCCGCTCGACGCGGAAGCCGAAGTTCACGACCCCATCTGTGATCTCCCCGTGCCATTGCCCTCTTCGTTGACTCTCCTAGCCCGAGGGGTGGCAACCCTGAGTGCTTCGCGTCTCGCCATGTCGGAGGAGAAGCACATGTTTGGGCGGCTTGCAGGGATATGGTACCCCAGCTCAGGCCACTCCAAGTCGTGCTCGTTGGAACCCCAGAACTTCCCGAGGTCCGCCACGCCTCGGCGCAGGCCTTCGCTGCCAGTGCTTGAGCGCCATGGTCAAACACGCTGCCGTTTTGCTGCCAGTGCTTGAGCGCCCAGGAACTTGCGGGCCAACCGCTTGAGCTTGTCGACGCCCTCAGGCTTGTCCAGGTCGGAGGCTGGGCGGGGGCCTCCCAGCTTCTCCACCCCAGCGGCCGCCTGGTCGGCAAGGTCCTGGTCCACCTCGAAGTCGGGCGCCTCCACTTCCATGCCTCCGCTGGCTGCGCCACCACCTGCGGGGGCCCCGGGGCCATCAGCAGCGGGGGCACCGCCAAAGCTGGGGGCTTCCTTGGCTGCAGCTGCAGCCCGTTCAGCGACCAGGAGCTTCTCCTTGGTCTTGGCGGCGGCGGCGCGGGCGTCCGCGAGGCTCGCCTTGCCATCCTGCATCTCCTCGTGCTGGCCGAGGGCGTCGAAGAGACCGTGTCCTCCTCGGTGCCCATGGCAGCCTCTGCGCACGTGGTCTTCTCGATCGCCTCCAGCTCAGCCAACTTGGCCTCGTGCTCGCGGAGCTGCCGCAGCTTCGAGTCGTAGGACTCCTGCGCAGCCGCCAGCTCCAGGGCTCGCTCCGCCTCGCGTACCTTGGCCTTCTCCACTTGTTTGCTCTTGTCCGAGTTCCTCTGGAGCACCTGGGCCAGCGGCTTCGAGGCGATGTCGGCCACCTCCTGCTTGGGCGGAGCTGGTGCCACCATTGAAGGCTGGCCTTCGGTGAGGCCGTCCTTGCCAGCCGCCGCCAGCGCCTTGTTGGTGGCCTCCAGCAGCTCGGCGACGCTGAGGTCCGCGACCTTCGCCTCACCGCCGTTGCCACCAGCTCCCTTGCAGCCGAAGTGGGACGACCAGTTCTTGGTTTTGTCCCACTGGGCACCGCGAGCTTGACCCTTCGGCTTGGCCTTGGCCTTGCCTTGGGGCTTGGCGGCTCCTGCGGCGCCTCCTCCTCCATCGCGCCACGGCGCTGCACCGAGGCATGGCGTGAGGGCGGTGAGAATGCTGGGCGGCGCCTTGGCCCCTCACGCTCTGCACTCCGCCCTGCTGATGTAATTCGGGCAACCTCCGCACTTGCCCGTGCATTTCCGCTGTGCCGTCGTTGAGGCTCGGATCCCAGGCGCATCGCGGTGCGATGCCATGGGCCAACCAAGCTCGTCTCCGTGTCAATTGGCTCGCAAGCACGAGCCGCTCTGAAGTGCGCGCTTGCAAGCTCAGGGCCACATGCCTGAGCAAGAACGGTTGGTTCTGGAGAGAGGAGGGAGGAGGAGAGAGGAGAGAGGAAAGAGGAGGAGAGGGAAGAGGAGGAAAAGGAGGAGGCGGGGGAACATAGCTCATGCCGGTCTTACGTAAAAAGGATGCGGGGGAGGAGGAGGCAGAGGGCAGTAGGACCAGCTAGCGTCTGGCATCTGGAAAAAATGGGCTTGAGGGGGGACTGCGTCAGAGTGAATGGGCCAAGGCCGGCCGACGCCTTCACGCTGAAGTCGGTCACCGTCGCCGCCACCGTCGTCACTACCGCCGTCGTCGCCGTCGCCACTGCCTCCGTCGGCCACCTCCGCTGCCGCCACCACCGTAGCCGCATCATCGCCGCCGTTGTCGTCGTCGTCCTCGTCACCGCCGTCTTCGTCGTCCCTCATGTGAAGGGGCCCCAGGACACACAAATAAATACACACAAGTACAACAATCCCGTATATTTCCCAATATTCTCTGGGTTCTTGTCTCCCCCCCCACTTCCCATATTTTCCTGGGAATCGACGACTAATTGTGTCTGTGTGTTTTTTCCTCTCCTGATCATGTTCCTGGCACGGGTGGCTCATGTTCCTCATGTTCCTGGCACGGGTGTTGTTTTTTTTGTTTTTCTTTCCCAGTGGGACTCCTGAGGCTTCTGGGGGGCTCTGTTGAAGGCGGTCGACTCCTTGGTCGAGCAGTCCGAACTCGGCCGTGGCGAGGGGGGGGGTAGACCTTTTCCTGGCACGGGTGGCTGTGACAGCTGCCCGCCGCCCGAGCGGCGAGCCGAGCCGTGCGGGGCCCGCGGAGAGCGGCGGGCCTCGGCCGGCCGGAGGGGCACCCCTGGAGGCCCCGGCCGGGGTGGTGCGAGCCCAGCAGGTAGAGCCTCGGGGGTGCCGCCCGTGTTCGGCGGCGAGCCCGGGGGGGAAGGGAGAGAAGGGGCGGGCCCTCTCAGAAGGCTCGGGAGTCCCCCAGCATTCTGAACAGTCTTCGAGCCTCGCGGGTGCCGCCCTCGGGTCGGGCGAAAGGGGGGGGATAGCAAAGGGGGGGGGGTGAGAATCAGCTCACGTAGCTGATTTTCCCAGCGCCTCCCGGCGCCAGAGGCAGCCATGTATCGAGGAATTTGCCCCTCGGTGAGGCCGAAATCAGCTGCATGGAGCAAATTTCGTAACCCCCCCATTCCCAATCCCCCCCTTTCGTCCGGCCCGACGCCCATGTTCGGCGGCGAGCCCAGGGGGGAAGGGAGAGAAGGGGCGGGCCCTCTCAAAAGGCTCGGGAGTCCCCCAGCATTCTGAACAGTCTTCGAGACCCTCCCGGAAGACAGAGGAAAAAGCTCTCAGAAGGCCCCAGGGCTTCTGAGAGTTCCCGCCGCCTTCTGGGAAGGCCTTCTCCTTCTCACTTCCCCCCTCGCTCGCCGCCGACATGTGTCGGAGGACGCCGGATATGATCCAACTCACCGGTCCTGGCGGGGCCGACTCGGGGCCCCAGATCGGCACGTCTCCCGGGTCACGCCTGGAGTGCGCGTGCGCACACTGGTCCTGGGCCCAGGATCGACCTAGCCAGGACCTGCGAGGTGGATAAGGGTGCAAGAGCAATTAGGGTCGGAGAATCGCGCCGCATCGCTGGTACATCGGCGACGTCGTGACAGAGAAGATACTCTGGATGGGGCAAGAGTTGCCCCCCCTTGAATCCGCTGGGGGGGGGGGGCACGTGCTGTCGGCACGTGTGGAGGGGTGGTTGGAGGAAGGGGAGGATGAGGAGGGGGATGAGGACGGAGGGGGTCGGGAGTGGGCAGGCTCAGCCAGAAGGTTCATCACCCCCCCTAGGTAAGTCCCCAAATTCAGAGAAGGGGTCCAGATCGCCGCCGCGTCGCCGATGCATCGGCGATGCAGCGCGATCCTCCGACCCAAATCCCCAAACCTCCATTGTCGTGCTCATTCGATGCGCAACTCCTCAGCTCCCACAACCACCTCCCGGGTACCGCATTTTCCGCCCTGGCTGGTCTTCTTATGGCCCCAGAATCCGAGAAGGGCCCGATGAGGCCAAACATGGAAAAACCCATCCGTTTTGATCCTTCCACGACGCCGGAGGCCCACGCACTCTTCCCTCGAAGCTCGGCTCCCGGTCCTATCCAGCCGCGGCGACGCGAGCGGCCAGGGGACCACCCAACAGTGGGGAAAATCTCAGAACACGCCGATCCTCGAACCTCAGGGGGAACGCTCGGGGGCGACGCGAGCGCCCAGGGGACCACCCAACACTGGGGAAACTTTCAGAACACGCCGATCCTCGAACCTCAGGGGGAACGCTCGGGGGGCTCCGGCTTCTCGGGGGGGGGGGGGCACCGAGCTGGAGTCGGCGATGCCTCGCCGACGGCTCGGCCGCAGGCCGCCGGTGCAGCGAACCCGCACGCTCCAGGAAAGGGCCGGGCTCTCGGGCCCCTTCTCGGCGGTGAGTGGGCGCTGGGGGTCCGAGGCGCCCCCCCCCCCGGAGCCCGCTCCCCCCGAGCGCTGCCCCATGAGAGCCTCGATGCCTCGCTGCCTCGTCGCCTCGGCGCTGGGTCCCAATATTTCGGCGGCCTCGGGAGCCTCTGGGAGACCCCGGCCGCGGCGGTGCAGACGTGGAGCTGCTCGACCTGGGGCGCGCGCGCGCCAGAGGAAGGGGCGGCAGAAAGGCCCAGGGGGCGCAGCGCGCGCCGATCGGAGAGGGCTCGGACCGAACCAACTTCGGGGCCGAAGAATTTTCTAGCAGAAATGCGCCACCGTGCCCCTGGGCACGGAGTGGGCGTGCCCTCAGGTCCTGTCCCTCATCCCTTAAGCCTCAATCCTCACTCCTGAGGGGTCTTCCAGGGGCCCGCACCCCAAATTGCGACAATTCTCCTTGGCCTTCCCGCGTGGTGGCGCGTGAACTGTTTGGGCCCCAGAAAGCCCCAGGACGGGCCAAGAGGGCCCCTCGAGGCCCTTAAGACGGTCCAAGAGGGCCCCGGTAGGTACGCTGAAAGATCGCCCCAAGACGCCCGATGTGGTCTCAAGATGGTCCAAGAGACCTTCAAGACGCCCCAAGAGGCCGCCAATAGGCCTGCCGAGAGGGCCCCTAAGAGCCACAAATCATTGATGTTCTTAAGGTTTTGGAAGGACTTGGCGTTCTCGTCTTTTCTAGTTTCGGACGCTCCAAGACGGACCAAGCGGCCTCCAAGAGGGTCCCAACATTGCCTAAGCGCGCTCAAAATCGGAACGGCCGAAGAGGTGCCTAAGACTGCCCAAAAAGGGGCCCAAGAGAGGGAACACGAACCAAAAGTCCGAGGCCCCAAGGGGCTCCCAAGAGGCCCCTGGAGGCCTACAAAAGGCGCCCAAGAGGCCCAAAAGAGGCTCCAAGAGGTACCAAAACGGCCCCCAAGAGACCTCAAACTGCCTCCGAAAGGCCTCCGAGAGGCCTCCCACGAGATCCCAATGAACATCCAATACAACCCAGGCGCGGTGGCGGGATGGGCCGAAGGCCATGCGATCCGCCGCCCCCTGTTGGCTTGCCACAGGGGTGCCCAGCGTGCCAAACTTCAGGAGGACTTCGGTTCCTTAAGAACTCCCCCTGGGGCTTCTGCCCAGCGCGCCGGCCACCCAGAAGGTCCCCAAACCAGTACAACGTACACAAATTACCCTGGCGACGTACCCAACCCTTGCGCAATGCGGGGCAGAAGTACATCAAGATTGCTACAACGGGGGCGATGACGTAATATGGACGCATGTGATTCTGCGAGCAGCAATCGAAAGGCTCGCAGGCCCCCGATCAAGATCTAAAGGCTACGTAATAAGAAATCACCCCCGTTGGCTGTGCCATGCGCCCGTTGCACCGAACGTATCCCACAACAACTCTTGAGAGCCCCCGCGGGATACGTGTAGGCGCAACATTATGGCCATCGCCCGGCATATGGTCTGTTTCACAAATCACTCCTCCTCCTCCTCCTCCTCCTCCTCCTCCTCCTCCCCTTCCTCCTCGCCTCCTCCTCATCTTCCACGGCCACCGTCTCCGCCCACTTCGTCGTCGAAGTCGTGGTCCTCTTCAGGGTCGGCGGCACCCGCCGTCAGACCTTCGCAATAGAAAGCCTCCGGAAACCAAGCATTTTGGTCTATGCCCCGCACGGCCCGTTCTGGACACCCTGCGCACAAAACCCGCCCACAAACGCAATCCATCCCCCCCATGCCACTCAAAGGACGGCCAATCATTTTGTTACCCCCCGCGCGGTCCACCCCCCTACACTTACTGAACAACTCGGAGTATGGACAGAACGCCGATCGCCGAGGAAATGCAGCGCGCCGAAGCCCTCTTGGGGCCTGCACGTCAGGGAGGATGACCCCACCCCCAATGCGAGACTGTTTTTTCGTTGGGGGGGTCCAGGTCGTCTCCTCCAGCTCCTCGCCATCCTTGCTCCCTCCTCGCTCCTCGCCCTCCTAGCCGCCCCGGCGACCGGGGGAAGCCGCCCCCAGCCAGGGTCCACCGGGTCCCAGTATGCGATCGCCACTGGCCCGCTCGCCGCCGACGCGGCAACGTACAGCCTGCGGAGGGGTGTCCCCCTCCTCCTCCTCCTCCTCCTCCTCCTCCTCCTCCATTTCTTCCGCAGGTACCCCGACAAGCACATACATGTTTGGAAAAGAATTACGCTACCGAGGAACCCCACATACTTATATTATGGCTGGACTGACGATAGCTGAAGTGAAGCATGTGAGAATGATGTTGGTGGCCGTTGCCACCCCCTGCGCACCCCCTGATGGTGTCGAGAAAATATCACGCCTGCTATGCCCTGGACGACCGTCGTGCAGAGCGGCCGCGCTGAGGGACCACCCCCTGCGCCCCCCCTATGGTGTCGAGAAAATGCCACGCCTGCTATGCCGTGGACGACCGTCGTGCATAGCGGCCGCGCTGAGGGACCACCCCCTGCGCACCCCCTATGGTGTCGAGAAAGTGCCACGCCTGCTATGCCCTGGACGACCGTCGTAGCGGCCGCGCTGAGGGAGCACCCCCTGCGCACCCCCTATGGTGTCGAGAAAATGAGGAGGAGGAGAAATATGATGGAAAAGAACATAAGAACAAAGGAAGAGGAGGACACAGAACATGGGGGGGGGGATGGGGAGGGGGAGCAGGAGGAGGAAGGGGACGAGGAAGAGGAAGAGGAGGAAGAGGAGGAGGAGGAAACTGAAGATGGAGGAGGGGGAGCGGGAGGAGGGGGAAGAGGAGGAGGAGGAGGCGGAGGAGGAGGAACGGTGAGGAGGACCAGTTTCAACCCAAGGCGCATCAACGATGATGCAATACATCCTCCCTCCACGCTCCGCCGCAGCTCCCCCCCAGTCCGTACTGAGTTTGTTAGGTCGTGTTTGGTTCAGGCGGCCCAGCCGCGGCTCGGGCAGCTCCTGGGCACGCGGGGCAGGGGGATGCCCCCGCCTCGGCCTCCAGAAGCACCCCGCGCTTTGTGGCGTCGACCGGCTGGCGGCCAGCCCTCGCCCTCTCGCGTGCACGCTGCCGCGCAGGCCCCGAGGGACACCCATGCAGACGGCAATGCGAGCGAACGCGACTGCGTAGCTAAATGGCACCAATCTCCAAAACGAAAGAACCTCGCGCGCACTCCGGGCGACATGGGGGAGGACAAGACAACAGATGGTCCTCAGAGAACGGGCGCATGAACTCACCAAACCAAAGTCCGCACATCCCAACGAACCAGTGACGCCTGGAGTAGTGGCCTCACAACCATGGTCGGAGGGGGGCGTTTTTTTTTGGGGGGGGGGGTAAGGAAAGACGCCCTGGACCCAAGCCTCAGCTCAGGTCAACACAAGGCAGCTGGAGCCCGACGTAGCGGTCAGCCGCCTGAGGAAAGGCACATGTGGCCCGATCTCCTCCTCGCACCAGCGAGAAACATACATAAAACAGGCCGTGCGTTCACCGCCCCCAGGATAAACAAAAACTGACCACCCGCGCCAGGACGACGAGACCCCACCGCCCCAGGTGCTGGTGCGCCAGGGCGGTGGCAGGGCCCCGCCCAAGACGCGGGGCGAGCGCGCGGATGTCTCCCCAAAAAGGCTCAGTCGCATCGGGCCGTGCGCGCGCGCAGGGATGCCTGGCCGCAGCGGGGGGCCGCAGCTGGTCACATCGGGCCATGCGCCGAGGGGGCACTGGGCAAGGCTTGGAGACAACATCTCCTCCTGAAATCAAAGAACAACTGAACACATAGCCATGCAGTCAGCGCCCCCAGAGGAAAACAAACAACGCCCACCCGCGCAAGGACGACAAGACCCAGCCGCCCCCGGTGCTGGTGCGCCAGGGCGGCGGCTGGGCCCCGCCCCAGATGCGGGGAATGCGCACGGATGCCTGCCCGAAGGGTCAGTCGCATTGGGCCGCGCGCGCGCAGGGATGCCTGGCCGCAGCGGGAAGCCGCAGCTAGTCGCATCGGTGTGGTGTGGTGTGGTGTGGTGTGGTGTGTTGGTGTGTGTGTGGGTGTTGTGGTGTGTGTGTGTGTGCGGGGGTGAGCGGGTCCCACTGGCAACCAAAACGGCACACGCGACATGGTGAATGGCACTGCGCAAGCGCCTTGATAACTCTGACCAGGACCCGCAGAAAGACCAGCCCGAGGTAGAGGCACTGCTTCTTAATAGCATATTCGGCAGCCTTCAAAGAACACGCCGCCGCCTGCTTAGATACCTCCTCCATCCTCGCCCCGCCCGACAAAACAAGCCATTTCTAGCATCATGCGAAGATTCTCCTGGCCTGGCGGGTACTCGGCAGACAAGCGCTTGAACTAATGCATCACTATTATTCGGAAGGCCACTGGGTGCGCTAAGAAGGCTGTGCCACGGACGTTCCTGAAGGCACGTGCCAGAACAGGCGCAACAAATAACCTGAGACCACCCAACAAGCCTTCTAGCAACCACGGCTCCATCACTCCGCCAACCTGCCCCCCAGTCCTCCAGAAAGTTCGGGGTCCGAACGCCAGACAATTCGGAGCTTCGTGGCTCTCGAAACCACCTCAAGTTTTTATAAGCACAAAGGAGTCCAAAGGAACTCAAATTCGTGATCGTGATCATCCCGTCGTTACAAGGAGAATGGTGCCCTATCACATACAGCAAGAAAACACTCTTGCACGCCGCCCCCACAAGTCGCGGCGGCAAGTGGGCGAACGGCATCGCAACTAAGACAATGCTAAAACAGAAGGTGCTGAAGGCGGTGATTGTCTTCGCACGTGTCAGCCCCGTCTGCCTCGCATCTCTCACCTTGGGACCACACTTTGCGATCGGCTGTTTCCAAAAGTCACGGCGGGCATCACGTCCAACCGGCATGCCCAGATACTTTCAAGAGGGAACCATGGCCCAGCTGCCAAGTCAGGATGTTCGGCCGAAGAGAAAATCTTCAAACGTTGCTGGTGTTCGGCAAACACCCGAATAAACGCGCACTGCTAAACACTCGCAAAGAAACCCACTAAAACTTCCAGCTGCTGGATCGCCGGGAACAACAACGCGACATTCGAGAGCGTTTGCAAAGGCCATGCAGATAATCATCAATCAGCATACTCAACCCCGGGATAGACACCATTGTGACATATAGCGCTGGCATAAATCTGAAGTGGCACTGTTCCCGAACAGAAAGGCACCATCGATGCAGGCCCCCTTTGGCAAACGCCACGAGCGACATCCATCGCAGTACGCACTTTAGTCAAGATCGAGATCAGCGCTGGGCTATCCGAATATACCATACGGTAAGATCTACAATGCATTCGGTAAACGTCGGCCCGGAACTTCGGAATCCATATCATCGCCAGGACCTTTAGGAACCAGTCCACAGAAATCGAGGGGAAGGCGGCATCGGAGCCCGTCATCACAACGCAATTATCACCACTGCCTCGCATCTGCTCAGCCAGTGCCCGCTTCGGCCCGCGCAATACAGTGGAGGCCAGTCCACAAGAAACCTTCCACAAGAAACCCAACCCTGAGACCCCAAGACATCTGTCGATTTTTGGTGTGGGAACGTGGCGCTTCCCATCGCAAAGCCATCGAAACCCAAGAAACCCAGGGCACCCTGGAGGCAAGCAGGGTGTTTCTTGGCATGGGTCTCCACTGTATGAGCAGCCATGCTGCGGCCAGAAATACATGCTCGCGAATTTGGAACAACAAGCTGGACCACTTTGTGCGACGGGCGGCGCATGCACGCACTCATGAGATTGGCACCGGTGTTGTCCATGGACAGCGGGCGGGCATTGTCGGGGTCCTGAACACCTGGCTTCCAAAGTCCTCCTGAACTTCACACTTGGGCGAGGGGAGACGATCAACTATCAACACCTCAAACATATCTTTCGGGGAAAACGCATATTTACACGATATCACATCCGGCTTTAGAAACTGTAGAGGATCAGTGGGGCATCTCCGAGGCGCCAGCATAAAAGTGGGACCATCAGGGCCAGGCGCACTGTGATTGCTCCTCCCAACGACGTTCTCGGGGAACGTGGGATACCGTCAACCCGTGTCATAAAGACGCACGATAAGGATGGAAGGGCCGTAAAAAGGTCAGGTTGACACTTTGCGAGCGGGGCGCGGCCAGCGAAACCGGCTGAGGATGGGCCGAATGGGAAAGATGCAAGGGCAACCTTGGCAAATCGCTCATCCTGACTATGCGGGCTGATTGTAATCGATTGGAATCAATCGTCAACTCCGCTCCTACAAGAACCCGGCAGAGAAACGACACAAGTGCGGGCCATTGGGATTTGCCCTCCGCCACTTCGCAGAAGGCTTCACCCCAATGCAGTCTCCTTCAAAGCTCCCTCCTCGTAGGCCAAATCAAGAATTGATTGCCACTGCGAGATATCCCCCGTTGGAAGACAACCGTCCGAGAATCCGCAAATGCACCAGAACACCATTCCTGGGATCCCAACGCCACGAATCAAATTCACGGTTGTGTCCTGGCGGTCCTAAGTTGAGCCAAAACACCATTCCTGGGAGTTCAACGCTTCAAATCAACGTGACCGTTGCGCCCTGGAAGCCCGAACTCATGCGTACCACAACCTGGAACTCCTGAGAATATTATGCGGGCGACGCTGGAGCGACAACCGCATTTTGAAACTGAGCCGTCCTGGAACCGTGCAACTCTCGCAAACTGGGAACACGCATGTGCGCGGCGCTAAAGCGAAAACCATGTTTGCAAAGGAGCCGCCGTATATCAGTGAAACCATCGCGAACTTTCACAACGAATGTGCGCGGCGCAAACGCTATAGGCACGTAGCGAACAACGAGCCGCCCTCCATCAATGACACGCTTGCGAAATTTACAACGAATTTGCGCGGCGTTAAGGCGCTAACCACACTTTGAAAACCACCCGCTTCTCATCCGCGAAACTATTGCCAACTTGCAAGGTACATTTGCGCGACGCTAAAGCGAGACGCACGTTTTGAAAAAACACCCGCCCTCCATCAGTGAAGCTCATGCAACTTCTCGGTTTCAAGATCACGCGTCGCAAGGGGTCTTAGGCGCAACGCCCAGCCCGCCCTACCGACATATCTCGGGGCGCGACAAGGAAAATCATTGATGTGGAAAAGGAATGGAGGAGGGAAGAAGGGGAAGGCGCAGGAGACCGGGGGGGGGAGGGGGATCATATCAGATTCCGATATGGGCACATGTCTACTTCGCGACAAAGAGAGGCTGCCCTAGGACCGATTTAACTGCGAAATTCGGACCCCACGTTCGCCCTGTGCTTCCATAGCTTCACAACCCCGGGCGCACTGACAAAATTAGCCTGGCGATGGACCCAACCATCTGAAATTGTGAATGGGGCCCAGGGACACACACAAATCAACACACAAATAACAAGATTCCCGACATGTACAAATATTTTCTGAATTTTGTCATCCCCCCGACTTCCCATATTTTCCGATATTTCGGGGGGATCGACAATTAATTGTGTCTGTGTGCGTGCGTGTTTTTTTTTTGGTCCTGAAATTGTGAATGCCGCAACTGTGAATATAATTTTCGCCCGCGCTCCCTATTGGGCCACGAACCGGGCGAGGGGCGCGCCGACGTCCGTGGCAGGGCACACAGCGCGAACGAAGACGATCGGTCTGCGTGCGGGAGACTGAAAGCGGGCGGGGCTGAGCGCGAACGAGTCTGATTGTGAATGAATCTTCGCGCGCGTGAAGTCTACTTGCATTAATGTCGACGCCCACGTCGGCACGCCCCTCACGAGGATGGATCGCGCCCGCTTCCTTCCCTCGTCCTCCCCCTTCCTCCTCCTCCTCCTCCTCCTCCTCCTTCTCCTCCTCCTCCACCTCCTCCTCCTCCCCCCTCCTCCTCCTCCTCCTCCTCCTCTTCTCCTCCTCCTCCTCCTCCTCCTCCTCCTCCTCCTCCTCCTCCTCCTCCTCCTCCTCCTCCTCCTCCTCCTCGTCCTCCTCCTCCTCCTCCTCCTCCTCCTCGTCCTCCTCCTCCTCCTCCTCCTCCTCCTCCTCCCCGTTTTTTTCTGCCTTTTTGCCCGTGCGCGCCAGTGTACAGGGCTGCGGGCTCGGCGCCGCACGGAGTCCCCGCGGCGCGCGCTAGTCGCCCCGCAGGGGTCGCAGCGTCGCGCGCGGGTCGTCCGCTGAGCGGAGCAGAGAGAACTAGCTGGCTGGCTGATAGCGGGCAAGGCTCTGGCCGCTGTTACCAGCCTGAAACATGTCCCTATCCCTATGCTGGGCATCTCCTCATCACGGTGCCAATCTTAAGGATTCCCTTATTTTTTGAAGGCGAATCCCTAAGATTGTCATCGCTTTTTGGCGTGTCAATCTTGGGGATAGGGATAAGTTCGAGGCTGGTAACGCTGGGCGGAGCGACGACGGGGGCGAAGGAGGGGCTGGGCAGAGCGCGGCGTGGAGTTCCCGCGACGCGCGCCGGTCGCCCCGAGAGGTTCCCAGCGACGCGCGCGGGTCGCCCGCGGCGCGAGGCCAAACAGTCAGCCCGTCGAGACGCGGCGAGGCTCGGGCGGGCCGCTCCTCAGGTCAAGCCTCGCGGATAAAGTCGGTGAAGCTGAGGGCCGTCGCCTCTCGGGTGTTCCAGCTTGGGGCGGCGCCGCCATGCGAGTTACGCCACTGGGACCTTAGGTGGAGCTCCCTGCGAGGGAGGCGGCGACTCCATGCGAGTTCCGCCGCTGGGACCTTAAGTGGAGCTCCCTATGGGGCCACGAAACGTGTGAGGGGTGTGCCAAAATGGGGCGGGCGGGGATGCCATGCGAGTTCCGCCAGTGGGACCTTAGGTTGAGCTCCATTTGGGGCCGCGAAACGTGTGAGGGGTGTGCCAAAATCGGGCGGGGATGCCATGCGAGTTAAGCCACTGGGACCTTAGTTGGAGTTCCCTGTGGGGCCACGAAGCGTGTGAGGGGTGTGCCAACATCGGTGGTGAGGACGATGATGATGACGATCATGATGATGATGAGGATGTGAATGATGCTGCAGATGATGCTGATGATGTGGACAGGGAGGGGGGCAGCGGGAGGAAGTAACGCGGGGCGCTGTTTCTTCAAAGCGACGAGGACCCAACACCACATAATGGTTGAAAACAAAACGCGCGCTTTCGAAGCCAAATAAGCAAGCGGCCAAGCCCGCCAACCTTACGAATGTGGTCAACCCTGGCACGCTTGCTGGGTGGCCCAGCATCCGGAGTAAAACAAGTTTCTCGGAGGGGAGAGAACGAGCAGGGCCCTCGGCCTCCGCGAAGCAGAACCCGCGGCCCACGACGAGGCCAAGGAAGAAAACACATAATATTTTTACAATCGTTTGAAGCTCTTCTGGCACTTTTTTTTTGATCGCAAACCGCGTACGGTCCCATACATGAGTAAGCACATCGGCAGACACATGACGAATTGAATAACCATCTGCGCTTACGTTCGCGCAGCCGTATCCAAGGCCCTGAGATACGTGAAGACCGCGCAAGCTCTTCTGGCACTTTGGGCATCAGCAAACGCCGTCAATCAAGCACGGGACGCACACGAAACATATTCGGGATAACGCAATGGGGTGCCCCCCGCTTCGTCATATCATCAGATGCCGCTGCATAGCTCTCATCAATACTCAAAGACACAAACATCATTTGATGCATCGTTCCTCGCCCTCCATCAGGAAGGTCTGCAATATCCGTTGAGGTGGTTCATGGGGGCGACACCGCCTTGACCGTGGCCCCGAACTGCTCTAAGCAACATATCATCACCTTGAGCAATTCTTGCTGCCGCATCATCGCCTTGCACTCGCCTTCCTTGAAGGCCAGCTGGGCCTTGACGAACGGGAATCGCTGGCTCATTGCTGGCGCGCTCAGGCCCGCGATCTCCGTCTTCCAATTCACTAACCTTTTGGTGTTGGCCACCAGGCAGTGTCGCCCGCCTCCATGCACCGTTTGACCAGGCCCACGAGGGTCGCGATCGAGATGGTCCTCATGTTGTCGACTTCCTCCTCCTCCCCACTCGCAGTGAGGCCCTGCGCCGACTCGGCCAACACCTTGACTCGCGCCCTCGAGCAGTGGATCGGCACGGCACCCTCCATCAGAATCAGCGTCATAAGCGACACGGCCTCCTGCCGTCGCGACAGCATCGTCACATTGAGGAGCAGCTCCGTCATGACTGGCACTACCTTCTTCCCCTGCTCAAGCACGAGGGTCTTCAGCTCGTTTCACGCAGCCTTCGCCACGTGCTCGTTGCTTTTCTTCTGCTGCGCACCTCGCTTCTTGCGTCCTCCATCTTCTGGCGCGCCTGGGGCGCCTTTTCTCTGCAGGGTGGCCACGTCGTCGGACTTGATGGGTGGGCACGCAGCAAACAGACCAGAGAGATTCAGGTGAAGGTAGCAGAAGGTGGGTATTGAGGCGCCTGTAAAGGCCCTCGTCAATCTCAAAAGGCTGTAGACACATAGGATGAATACGAATCTCAACATCACCAATCAATGGGTGGTACTTAAACGAATCAAGGCAACATGTTCCATAACGGTATGCGTTCGCAGATGTCTCCGTGCCGTGTCACGGCATCTGGAAGCCGAGCAACAAACAATACACTGGTTCGTGACAACGAACTTTGCAACAAGAAAAAGAGACGCTTGCTCTGATGAGCGAGTAAGGCACGTTTGATCTGAAATCGGCGATCACATCTCGACGCAACCCCCGTCATCAGCTCACAGCTGAACTCCTCTTCAACCATGTCTCCAAGTGCGACCAATGTATCTCGGGGGAGCCCGACGCAGTAACCACTCAGCCCTTCACCATTACACGTCCAGCCTCTGCCATTTCTCGGAGGCCTGCGATATCCCCCTGGCGATCCCAAGATCGCCACCCCCAGCGCCACCACCACCCCTCCTCTGTGCACCCCATATCCTCGATGTCCTCAAAGAACTGGTTGAAGTATCTTTGGGTCTTACCGGGGCGCTGGGTAACCACGGGAGGATGGAGGAGGATGAGGAGGGAGGAGGAGGGAGGAGCCTTCGATCACACATAACCTCGGCACTGGTGGAGTCTGACCGTTCCGCTTCGTGAAGGGGAGGGGAGGACACGTGCGGGGACCGGGGGGCCTGTTTTCCACCGTGGCCGCGCTCAGGCGTTCCCAGGGCGACGGCAACGGGGGCAGCGGCGTCCACGCTTCGCCTCTGGGGGTGGGCCGCGGGAAGGGCGAGGATCGAGGATCGAAGAGGGTGGACGCGATGCAGGATCGAGGTTCGAGGATCGGGGAGGGAGGACATGTGATCGAGCCGTTTCGAGGGCTGTCGCGACGGCTTCCTGGGCCGTCCAGAGGGCCCATGGGGACGCTCCTGGGCTATATTGGACCATGCGGAGGGTCTTTGGGGTTCTCTTGAGAGCATTTGAGGGATCCTTTGGGCCGTCTTGAGGCCAACCAAACGCGGCTCAAAGACGAGCGACCCCGCCGAAGAACTGCGAGCCCGCATGACGAATCCCACGCGAAAACATTGAACTCAATGAAACAAGCGCTTAAGTTTACACCAGATAGTGGGTTGCATAAACACGCAAATGGTGCCGCACGTATGGACGCGCCCATCGGCGACGACATGCACTATTCACAGACGGCCATTGCCCACATACACAGCGTACGCGCAACAAGCACACTCGTGCGCACACTATGTATATACATTTATACAAACACATATAAAATCCGTTGGCTAAGAAAACAGGGCGTACGACAACAAAAAGAGCAACGGATTCTACTCCATATTGTAGCAACGCCACGAGGAAACTGGCTGGCGGACATGTGTGTGTGTGTATATATATATATATATATATATATATATATATATCCGCCGGCCCCCTTGTGGGGCCACCAGGCTGTAGGCGCGGGTTCGCAGTTTCCTGTACCAGGTGTAGCTTGTAGTTTCCAGTGTTACAGTTCTGCTTCTTGCTGGTTACTGTAACTAGTTGACTTCTTGCTGGTTACTGTAACTAGTTGATTGACCGCGCGAGGGGGGGGGAGGCCCAAACAAGACTTTTAGCGTCCCCTGGGCGCGTTGTCTGAATTGCTGGGGGGGCTCGAAATCGACACCCCTCACGCAGATCCGCGGGGTCAGGGTCCAAAAACACAAGGGATTTGCCACATTTCTGAAATTCGGTGCCACCCCTCACGCAGATCCGCGGGGTCAGGGTCCAAAAACACATGGGATTTGCCACATTTCTGAAATTCGGTGCCACCCCTCACGCAGATCCGCGGGGTCAGGGTCCAAAAACACATGGGATTTGCCACATTTCTGAAATTCGGTGCCACCCCTCACGCAGATCCGCGGGGTCAGGGTCCAAAAACACATGGGATTTGCCACATTTCTGAAATTCGGTGCCACCCCTCACGCAGATCCGCGGGGTCAGGGTCCAAAAACACAGGGGATTTGCCACATTTCTGAAATTCGGTGCCACCCCTCACGCAGATCCGCGGGGTCAGGGTCCAAAAACACATGGGATTTGCCACATTTCTGAAATTCGGTGCCACCCCTCACGCAGATCCGCGGGGTCAGGGTCCAAAAACACAGGGATTTGCCACATTTCTGAAATTCGGTGCCACCCCTCACGCAGATCCGCGGGGTCAGGGTCCAAAAACACAGGGGATTTGCCACATTTCTGAAATTCGGTGCCACCCCTCACGCACATCCATCGCAAGGCGTGGTAACCCAAACTGCGAGTACTCCCTCGGCCCTTTAATCCCAAGGTGTGGTAACCAAGCTCGTAAACCATACACGTCTTACCAATCGCCCTGTGTGGTAACCCCTCTTGTGATCAGTTGGTTTTGCCGATTGCGAATCGGCCTCGCATGAAGTTCCGATACTGCTGCACGACAGCGCCAAAGCCTCATGACTTAGCTCTTCCATGGCCCATTCTCCGAGAGAGGGGGCCGGCGGCAGGGGGCGAAGCCCTTACGGATACGAATGTATACATACATACATACACATATAGACCCAGCGTGAAAACGCCACAACATCAACGCAACATTAACGACACACATTTCCGACATGCACACATATCAATATGGTAAAACCTTTAAAGAAATCACGTGCGTGCACGCACACCGTAACACACATAACACACCCAACAGATTTTCCAGAAGGCGCCGACCGACGTGGAACATATGCGTGTGCGCTGGTTGTGCATTTTTTCTGAGATGCTAACGTCCCCCGTTCAATGCTCACCAGGCGTCCGTCCATTGCTTCTGCCTCCCTGCTTTTCCTCTTTCCCATGCCTCTCCCTCCCCTCCGCCACCTCTGCCATCCACCTCCTCTTCCCGATGTCCTAAAGTGTTGAAAGACTCGCACGCCAGCTCCTCCAGGCTGCTGGCCGAGCCGCCCCCGACAACGTACAGTTCCTGCATCAGCACCACGGCCGCATGCCCGTAGCGCGC